GGCGAGATTCGTGACTGGAGATGGTAATTTACAGGTTAGGTCTTTGTGTAAATTCTCCAAAACTGTGTTTGCTTGTGTAAACAGATCCTCTGGTTTCTGATCAAAGCATTAACCCGTTGTGTTGTTTCCCTGATCCTCGGATTCCTTGCTACTACTTACCCTGCTCGAACTTGGATACGATGTTGCTTGATTCTACAAAAAGATGAAGATCTTGTGAGCATTTTTCATTCAGAGGAAGTAGCATTCGTGAAACAACATACGAAGGTAAGTTACCTGAAACTGCGGTGGTTGGGTCGGGTGGAGATTACGGAACTGCTGATACGGATCCATGTAAGCCGGATACTGAGGCTGCAGGTTCGACGTTGGATCAGACTGCTGGTTCGGTAGATAGACTCTTGACGGGTCAGAAGCATGAGCAGGGTAGCCGCCGCCTCCCATATGAGTCTGCGTAGGCAAAGGTCTTTGAGGAGCTAACATATTGGGGAATGGCATGAACGAAGGAGGAGGAAGAGGCTGGTTCATACCCATTCCCATTGCCATGTGAGGCATGTACTGTTGCATACCCGTATACATCATCGGCATCATACCGCATCCCATTGACATCATCTGCATTAATCTCAGTCATAAACTGAAGTTTTCCATGGAAAAGTAAAAAAATTCATACACTTGAAAACAAAGAGACAGATAAGAAAGACAACCTAAACTTCGTCTTTCGATTAAGAAAGCGATTTTTTCGGTTTTCAGGACAAACCTGTATTTGAAGCTGTAGAGATTTCATGTATTCGATAGCTTCATCAAGCATCGAAGCTTTATCTGACTGATAAATCAAAAGAAGAGATTTGCATCAGCAAGAAGTCGTAATGCTAAAATGTCGAATAAACTTGAATAAACACGTAAATCGACCTTGTTGCAGCGAGGAATGAGTTCTTGCAGAGCTTTCATCCTCTCATTTATCCTATCTCTTCGTTTCTGTTACCAAAATTTTGCAACATTCTTCATGAAAAATCGTTACGAATATTATAACATCGAAAAAAACAAACGATTATTAAGAAACCAAAAACACAAACCCTTTCAGAGAGATTATGAACTTCTGCAGCTCGAGATCTCTTTGTACATGTTGTTCCTCTTCTTTGCTCAGTTTCCTACAACTCAAGAAAACATAAAAAAATAAAAAATAAATCCATGAATTTAAAATGCGCCGAATTTTCGTAATCAGACTAAAATGCGCCGAATCGTATATGCGCACGGTAACGACTCGGTCTTTTACGACTCACCTCGCTGGGGGACTCAGTCTCGTCAATGGTGGCTTCTCTCTCCTTTCGTTTCCTATCATCGACGATCGTCTTCTCCGTCTCCGGTTGTACATTCACCGGCTCGATTCCGCTCTTCGACATTACAGAAGAAGATGTAACGTGAATCTCACCCGCCGGAGCCGCCACTGCTTTTCCCTTCCGATTAACTCCGAGCGTATTCCCGCCATCTCCAGCTACGACGGAGCTAGATCCGCAATTAACCGTCACATCCGTTCGCCGTGTAAGACCGGATTCGTTCGCCGCCGCCGACGACGGTGTGGCGCTAGGTTTTACCTGAGTCGATTCTCTCACAATCGCCTTCGAAATCGACGGTCCAGATTGACCTCCGGTAAAATCCCCTCTAATCCTCGAGAAATTCATGAAATTCCGTACCGGCGGTCTCACCGACGAAGAAGAAGGTACAGACGGTGGTCTCGCGGCGGTGACTTGACTCACGGTCGTCGTCGTTGGTGCGGAGGCGGAGAAGAGAAGATCTGAGCTGAAATCATCGTCTCGAAGAGGATAATGAAGCCATGAAGTCATTTCGTCTTCTTGAATAAAGAGATTCTGATCTACTACTAACTGTTGTTGCTCATGATGATGCAGTGAAGATGTCGCCGGAGTAACAACTCCTTCTTCTCCGGCGAGAAGCTTCACAGTAGAAGAAGAAGAAGGTTTCTTGGTGTTGTTGTTGAGTCTTTGGTTTTGAAGATGACCGTTTTCCCATAAAAGCTCCATTAAATCATCTTCTTCACCCCTATACGTTTACAAACCCCAAACTCAGATCCAAAATC